ATATAAACAGCTGCTTCGTATGGACCCACAAGCGTTCTATAGTTAACTCAAATCTTCTGTTCACCAGTACACGTTATCCATATGGGACCTGAGACCCTTTGTGGGGGGGGGGGGATCTTCTGGAGTATCCTCAGGGGTCAAGACTTATCTCAACAAGAGGTCTTAGAGTTACCAGCTTTCTTTTCCAGCGTGATGCCCGAGCCTCCCTGGAGGGGGAGGTCCAGCTCACCCTCGGCTCCGGTCACTCCAGCAGCCCGCACAAATGTACAATATATATTCTTACATATAAGAATATATATAGAGGGAATATATATTATGAGGGCGAGAGAATCTTCTATGCTCCATCTGGGCATAGAAGTGCCCAGATGGAGTGCTAAATGACTTCGAGGAATGTCACTTATTCTCTCCTCAAAGCCCAAGGGACCCCTCATTAATACAACCAGAGGTGGTATCCCTTATATGATGTATATATGTGTGTGTATATATGCGTTTATGTAAAATAAAAGTGCCTAGTGCGAGACGCAGACCGTGACGCACGACGACAACTCCCGTACAGTCAAGACATGTGTTAATTTCCTGTGTTGACAACTAGCGGAGAAATGGTTCATTCCCTCAGTTGTTTAGAGGTTCCCGAGGCGCGGAGCTCTGGTGGGGTAATGGGGCGAGAGCGGCCGTCGGGTGCTCCCCTGGCAACCCTCCCAAACATTGACTGTGACTGTTAACAATACTTTTGACGGCGTATAAAGCTCGTTTGTTTCAGACTACGAACAATGATGGCCGACGTTTCAGTGCTCTTAATAATACATTTTCTGAGAGAAGGGGAATTGGGGTAGGATGAGGGGGGAGGGATGACGATGGGGGGGGGGCAAGAAGGGGGGAGATGGGGAATAGATCTCGGGTATGTATTTATTTTTTTATTTTCTTTATTTTTTTTTTGAGATATATACAAGAGTTGTTACATTCTTGTAGAGCCACTAGTACGCGTAGCGTTTCGGGCAAGTCCTTAATCCTATGGTCCCTGGAATACGATCCCCTGCCGCGAAGAATCGTTTTTTCATCCAAGTACACATTTTACTGTTGCGTTAAACAGAGGCTACAGTTAAGGAATTGCGCCCAGTAAATCCTCCCCGGCCAGGATACGAACCCATGACATAGCGCTCGCGGAACGCCAGGCGAGTGTCTTACCACTACACCACGGAGACTGCAAATATATATATAATGCAATTTATATATATATATATATATATATATATATATATATATATATATATATTTATTTATATGTATATTTATATATATATATATATATATATATATATATATATATATATATATATATATATATATATATATATATTCTATCGTCCCTGACTGCCGCTTGTGGGGCCAAGTTGCCATACCAAAATGTTTTTATTCTTAATATTTTCTGTTATTGATATTTTTATTATTAGATCTATTATCTACGTTGTCATCATCATCACGTTTATGTTATAAAATGACATTTATCAATAAAACACAAAAGGATAACACAAGTCAGCTGATTAGTGTAAACAAAGGACCATCAGTGAGAATCGATTAACGTAAACGCACAGCCACCAAGGAGGAGGAGAAGGAGGAGGAAGCTATGCAATATTCAGGGTTCCGAGAAGCAGGACTGGTCGTTACGAGTGGACGAGGTTACGTATGACGGAGGGAGGACAGGTTGGTGGTTGGCTAAGGGAGTGCGCATACGGTGAGTTGGGTTGTGGTGGTCTAATAGGTGGGCCAGCGGTGGGTAGTGGTCTGAAAAATGATTACTGCAGTTGTATATACTCAGTGTATATTACTCTGTGTTACCTGGTAGTTCAACAATCTCTCCGTTGTCTGGGAGTCTAACAGAACTCTTTCTCTTTGTAGTATTGACATGTTCTTTCCTACTCTGATTCCTGGATGAATATGTTCTACGAGTAGGGTCTAGCAAAATTATGTAACCCCTACGTCACCAATACTCTATAAATATACATAACCTAATCTCTTAAAGTGAACCAAAATTATGGAAGACTTTGTGTCTTGGATATGGTGCACGCCAGAGATGACGTCATTATGTGCATGCAGAAACAAGTTTTCTATCCTACTGGATTTTACCGACAGGGAACCGTAGCCTAAATCTTCCCGGACGCAGATTTTGATATCTGAATCCAGGACATGTCATGAAAAATACGGACGCATGGCAACCCTATTCGGCTCCCGCTTTTGAAGAGTGGAAGTGTGTGTGGGTAGTGGTCTCCGTCTCTCGCACATCAGATAAATTGCTTTCCATCTCTTGTCTAAAATTGCTCCAACATCTCCATTGTTTTTATTAGCCACTCTGGCATCTCTTTGGGCCGTCTGCTGAAAACGTATATATGTGTGTATGTGTGTGGAGGGGGGGAGGGGGAAGAGGTTCGTGACGAATGCTGCCATTGTTCGGGGCCTGTGTGGGCAAAATTGACGCTATTGTCATGTGCAAACATCCACCGTGTTGCTGAAATAGGCTTTTACGATTCGTTTTCTTTTCCGAATTCATGTAGAAAGCCTGACTGAACGCGTGTGATATTGGCAATATCCTCGAACAAAAAAACTAATGAGCAAAGAGAGGTACACAATAGGTGTGTGTTTCCTGCCTCCTCCTTGCTCATCAGTCTTTTGACATTTTGGGTTGTGATTTTAATTTTGTGTTGAGCATTTTCTGGCAGTCCGGTGATAATTGAGAGCCCGTGGCGTACCTCCGGGTGCGAGAACACAATGTTGGTGCGTGGAGGGGAACGCACTTTCGTGCCTTGACATGCTGGACCATGCATGTTGGGCATATGGGGCAGGCATTGTTCTTCCTGAATTATATTGTATATAATCTTGTTCTTGTTCTGTAGGAAGCCGTTTACTGGATGTGGGGAGTTTACTAGCTGTGCGAGTTTTGTGGAGAAGAGTTTGTTTTGTGTGTTTAAAAGTTTCTGGTAGGTGGTAGCTTCCCGTGGACGGTGAGCAGCTTGCTACGCCTGTGGGGAGGACTTTATAGTGTTGGGAGGAGTTTATGTGGATATTAGCCGTACGCTGAAAATAATCCTAGCACCAACGGATAATAATAGAGTAAGGTTTAGTAGGCACTGTGCAAACGTTGTGTGCATTAGCACAATTGAGGCTCAAGCCACCTCGGGACTAAGCTCAAGGTGTGAAGAAAAGTTTCCAGTAGTTTTATATGTAGAAACTCGGTGTTAATTCAATTTACATAATTTTACGCTCAGAGCCTAGTATGCTGGAGCCAGACACGTATAATCAAGAGACGCCTTTGTTGTTGGGGGGAAGAGGGAGGAGTGCCAGGGAGTCCTGCCTCTCCCAGCCCTGCGCCCCTGGGAGAGTCCCAGGCTTTCTGTTTCATGCTCTCTAATGTTACTGGAGAGAGATCAGGGACTGTACCTAATGTGTTTCGTTGTACCCAAGTGGTCGTTATACTCGATGTTTAGCTGTAGTATGTTTTTTAGTATTTTTACGTAATCTTGCATCCCGGGAGGTCAGAGGTTCCCTGATAATTGTAGGGTCAATCGCGCCTGGTCACTATCAGCTGCTTGTGTAGAGGTGTATTGGGGTAGTGTCTTTATTACTGGTTTCCGTTCTTCTTGCGTTTGTTTATTTTCTTCTGTGTTGTTTTTGTGATCTCTGGTCATCCCAGGTCGTACCATTCCGTGCCCCTTACATGATATCCTGGTCATCCCAGGTCGTAACAAGGTCCTAAATATTTCTGGGTGAAAATACCAGGTTAATTTAAAGCGCCGACGCGTCAGTTCTGTCAACATATTTTGGCTCGGTGTTGGGCAAATGCATTACTTCAGAATTTTCCCCCGTCTCTGCGTCTCCGTGTTCTATTAACATTGCATTTACATAAGTTTGTCTTCATGGCAATTCTGTCTGACATGTTCTGCTCCTGTATCTTTGAATGGCTTTACATGAATTTACCCGAGGGAAATAGTGGCTTCGACGAGGACAGGAAGCCGACGACTTGTCAAAAGGCAACTTCCTCTCCTTCCCATTTGTCCTGATGATTTTGTCGAGCTGGCTTTTGAAATACAGCAGTGTTATGACAGTTATGACTTTGGCGGGTAGGCGGTTCCATGGGTTTATAACCCTGTAGATGACAAAAGCATCTTCTGTTTTGTGTCCTATATTGTGGCTTGTTTAGCTTGAAACCGTTGTCCCTTGCTTAACAGCTGTGGCCTCACACTTTGCCTTGTCCTACCGTACTGTAAAGGTTTCATCTGAGGCATCTTCGATTTCTTGGGACTTGTCTGATATTGTTAACTTCCGTGTGTGTTAAATATAGATTGTATAAAAAAAATAATCCTTCCACCCTTACTATTGCAGTCTATAAATGCATGGTTGGAACAAGGCTGTCCGAGCAGGAGGTGCAAGCATGGTTGGAACAAGGCTGTCCGAGCAGGGGGTGCAAGCATGGTTGGAACAAGGCTGTCCGAGCAGGGGGTGCAAGCATGGTTGGAACAAGGCTGTCCGAGCAGGAGGTGCAAGCATGGTTGGAACAAGGCTGTCCGAGCAGGGGGTGCAAGCATGGTTGGAACAACCATGTTCGATGAAAGAAAGAATCGATTCAAGGAAAAAGAATCTTGTATAAGTTCTCAAATTCTTTTGTTACATTTTTAAAGATATTTACGTTCTCTGTTATTGTGGTCACGATACTGTACAGCTTCTTAATTAATATTTATATTTTCAAACTCGTTTTAGTATTATTACCCTAAAGTGTATTTGCCTTAAAAATGGTGTACCGAAAAAGTCGAACCTAACCGAGCAACCTACCTTAACTCCCTCCCTTGCTCCCTCAGGTAATCGTAGCTATAAGTCGTATAGAAATAGCCAACATCATAAGCCCATAATGTTGGCTATTTCTCAGTATTTAGATGGTTGGTTAATGAAGAAAAAATCAAACTTAACAGTGACTGAGGTTCTGACCTTGTTGTTTCTCTCCTTCTGTACAGCTGAGCGTGAATGTATGGCGTATGAACCCTTCCGGTGCCCTGGGGGAACGATGTGCATCTCCATCCAGTACCTGTGTGATGGAGCCCCAGACTGTCCTGACGGCTACGACGAGAATCCCCGCCTCTGTACAGCAGGTGAGTCCGTCCTCAACACCTTCAGTCTCCTCTGCCACCCAACATCCTGAATGCAACAGCCTTCCAGTACGTACGTGAACAACACACAAACACACACGGTCGGGGGGAATGAATGCAACAGCCAACAGGGAATGAATGAATGATCATGTTATGTACTGTGGGAGCATAAACAATCAGAAAATACTAATTACTACCCAGAAACAAAAATTGTGTGTTGCTGCTGCATAGTGATAATTTTATTATAGATCAAAAAATTAAGTAACTTACCTAATACTGTAGCGACATTACAACAATTGAAGATAAACAATCCAGTATTGCTGATTTATGAGCAGAATTAAGTGACTTTAATACTGTACTTACATTCTTAATTCTTGTGCATGTTGGTCTTGAGTCATTGTTTTCGTGATGCAGCACACAGTTCTTCAAGCAATACAGGTGTAGTTAAGTGTATGATTATCTAGCAGTTTTTGATCCAAAATGTAATTTCTTTAACAGAAACACTCGCAGCAACAACTGCATAGGTGAGGTGTGTCGGTTACATCTCCTGGGATGGAAATCTTGTTACCAGTGAACCATAATATTCTTCATAATATTCTTCATAATATTCTTCATAATATTCTTCTCAATATTAATACATTCTTAAAGATATACAATTTCACAAGTGCAGAAGTCCTCCTGATAGAGCACTGACTGTTGATTGTTTCCACGTTAACATTGTCTCAGCAAATCACCTCCCCGTTTTAACTATTTTTATTTCAACCAACCACATTCCATTAAATGCACTGATTGTTGATCGTGTTTCAGCTAAGCGTCCACCTGTAGAAGAAACTGCCTCCTTCCTGCAGTCACTTCTGGCATCTCACGGACCCAACTACCTGGAGAAACTCTTTGGAACCAAGGCCCGTAATGCTCTTAAGCCCCTGGGAGGCGTTGAGAAAGTGGCTATTGCTCTATCAGGTCAGCACCTTGGTCTCCTCCGGCATGTCTTAAGGTCCAGAGGGGCCGAATACTTAATGTGTCCACTTAGCCACGAGACTTAGTGGCTTGATTGTTATTTACTGAACAGTTTAAGAGTTGAGATGCACTACGAGGGCAACTCGGTAGTGCTTTGGAGCTTGTTAACTATACTGTATAGTAAATACCAACTATGCCACCATAGTTCAGGGTAAGAGATTCAACTCTCATCGGTGGGCAGACTTCACAAGTGTATTGTAAATCCAGCTCATGTAAATTAAGTCTTGAAAATTTGATTACTTGACCAATATCAATATTTTTTAGATTTACAATGCACCAAAGAAATAAGAAAATTTTACATTTTAATTTAATTTGGTTTGGAAAGTCTTTGAATCAGGTTTTTGGATTTGTTAATAAAATTTGTCTGGTGTGACTTGCATTAACCTAATGTGACTTATTAAGTTAGTATGCAAGTCACACTACCGTGATGCATTAGGTTAGTTAATATGGATCCTATAGCACAGTGGTCTATGTTCTCAACTCAGAACTGGGGATCATAGGTTCAATCTCCAGGGACAGAAATGGCTGTGTATGTTTTCTTTCGTCTGGTGGCTCTGTTCACCTAGCAGTAAATAAGTACCTCGGAGTGGAGCAACTGTTGTGGGCGGCATCCCAAGTTAGGTCAGTTCGACCCGGTGGCTTTATACAATCCTAAGTGCAGGCTTCCTGTCCCTGACAGCAGGAATTATTAGCCTAGTGTGATTGAAACGGTTGCCGTCATATAGCACTACTGATCTCTCCAAACTAACCTTGCTAATCTCTTGCAGAATCACAGACCATTGACGACTTCGGTGACACCCTGCACCTGCTGCGGTCCGACGTGGAGCACCTTCGCTCAGTCTTCATGGCAGTGGAGAACGGGGACATTGGCATGCTGAAATCCCTCGGCATTAAGGACTCTGAGTTGGGCGATGTCAAGTTCTTCTTAGAAAAGCTGGTGAACACTGGCTTCCTTGACTGAGAAGTTTAAGTCACATGTCCAGCAAAAGAAGGTGGTGGTGGTGATAGTAGTAGGCAAGATTAAGAGTAAAAAGCAAAATGCAAATTCAAGATGGAATTGTATATTAAAAAATAAAAGATAAGGTCCTTAGAAGAGTGAGAATGAAGGAAAAGTTAGATATGGCAGAACTGAAGTTAATGCATGGATAAAGGGTGTAAATTGAATAGAAAATTTAAGAGTACACAGTATTGGATATAATGTTACATGGAAGGAATGATGTTTACAAGAATGTTAAAACAGAAAGATCTAATAAATAGGGAGCATGTAGAGAATAAGAATATTTTTTCCAATAACTCCTAACTACAAAGAAATCTATTCTACTCAGAGTATTATATAAAGGGTGACCTAATGGTCTTTAGACTAGTAACTCATTGGCAGCCCCAACTCCAGAAGCTGGGGCCCCACGTAGTTCCAGAAGCTGGGGCCGCACGTAATGTAGTCCCAGAAGCTGGGGTCGCGCGTACTGTAGTTCCAGAAGCTGGGGTCGCACGTACTGTAGTTCCAGAAACTGGGGTCGCACGTACTGTAGTTCCAGAAGCTGGGGCCGCACGTACTGTAGTTCCAGAAACTGGGGTCGCACGTACTGTAGTTCCAGAAGCTGGGGCCGCACGTACTGTAGTTCCAGAAACTGGGGTCGCACGTACTGTAGTTCCAGAAGCTGGGGCCGCACGTACTGTAGTTCCAGAAACTGGGGTCGCGCGTACTGTAGTTCCAGAAGCTGAGGCCGCACGTACTGTAGTTCCAGAGACTGGGGTCGCACGTACTGTAGTTCCAGAAACTGGGGTCGCACGTACTGTAGTTCCAGAAACTGGGGTCGCACGTACTGTAGTTCCAGAAGCTGAGGCCGCACGTAATGTAGTTCCAGAAACTGGGGTCGCACGTACTGTAGTTCCAGAAGATGGGGCCATATGTAGTTCCAGAAGCTGGGGTCGGGTATAGATCCCAGTGTATCAGAACCACTTTGCACTAAGTACATTGTAATGTTATTGTTTAAATTCTATATCAGGCAAAATCCACGAATAAACTTAATTATCCTTAAGTTAATGTATAGCACGTTTGCCTCTCTTAGCGCCTAATATATATATTTTTATGACTATGTAATAAGTTTTTGTTGTTAGCATCCATTAAAAATTTATCTGTAGGATCTTAAAGTATTTTCTGTGATATTGTTTTTTTGAGAGAACAGCAACTACTGTTTTGTAAACAGAGAAAGACACTCAGCTGTGATGGTTTCACAAAATCACACTAACAAATTTATTTACAATTTCGCTTTTGCTGGGCCAAGGTATTTTTACAATCGAGTGATTTTTTTTCATGTGTTGTTGTTAAAATTTCAAAGTTTAGGATTTTTCATTAGATGTTGGGCTTCAGATTCACTTTCAATTTTGGAGCCTATTAACTAGTCATTAGTAGCATCTTTGTATCAAATTAGTTAAATTGTTTAATATTTTGGATAAAAATTCCCAATATTGAGGATCTTTTAAAGAATTGTTCTTTTAAACCCAGTCACGAGTCTTTCATGAGCATCACTGGGCAGCTAGCCATGCCGCCCAGCAGCGTCCAGTAGAAACGGACTCCATCTGTGTCTTATGGTAATCACTGGCAAGTTTGGGTCTTCATCCTCATGTTGGTTAACTCGAGTCATTTGAGTTTATTCCTGTTTCACGTGTTTAAGGTTGACTTAGGGCATCTTGTTAAAGAGATTAACTGTCGTATTAGGTTTACTGCTTGGGCATGAAGCCAACAGGAGCATCCATAACAACCGTTGTCAGCACCAACACAGTTCTCAGTGTATGTGTCTATCGTCGGTAAATATTTCCAAATATTTGTTATGTCTTCAATAACAATTATATTTGTTAATGCTGTACTGTATTTAAGACCAACAGCGATCTTTTTTAATTTTAATTTTTAAGACAGTCACATCAACAGCTGTCAGATTTAAAGAAAGTTAAAACAGCATCAGCAGTGTTTAAAAGTAACATCTATAGCTATTTAGGTTTAAGACAAATGAACTTTTTTCCTATTTTGGCGTAAATTGTTATAGAGACTAGGGTGAATTGCTACAATAAAAAAAAATATTTTACTATATCAGTTTTAAATGGATGGGTTGTGAAGTGTAAGGCAACAATAAGTGGCCCAAGACTAACTCACCAAGGACACCACAGACCAAGGACACCACAGACCAAGGACACCACAGACCAAGGACACCACAGACCAAGGACACCACAGACCAAGGACACCACAGACCAAGGACACCACAGACCAAGGACACCACAGACCAAGGACACCACAGACCAAGGACACCACAGACCAAGGACACCACAGACCAAGGACACCACAGACCACGCTAAGTATTGATCATGACCAAACCACAACTCGGAAAATACTTTAAGTATGCTATTGTCTTGGAGCTGTATACACAGTACCTGTATAGCCATCTTGGCTCAGCATTTTCATTTGACAATTGATTACTTGTCTCACAATCATGAGCTAACTTATATAACTCATACTACAGGCCTATGAATTATAACCGAGCAATTCCTAGCACATCAAAATTCTAACATTCATGTATACATAGCAAGTTACTTACCAAGATTACCCTCGAGTCAACCATAAAATACATTTTTTGTTCAAAATCAAACTTTACCTGATGATCATTTCTGTGAAGTGTTAATCTACCTAAGTCTCTCTCGTTTATATGTGATATGGTCTGTCTTCTCTGCATGCATGACACTGCTTCAGTATATGTACAGATGCACAAATATAATGTTCTCTGGGTGTGTTATGTTAGTGTAGAGGGCAATAATTACGATATCGTTTAGTTCTCCGAGCGTCCACACCCAACATATCCGTAAACTCTTGCCCAACCTCCCTCCACACCATCACCTCCTCTTGTCAGCTTTGTGAGCATCGTTGAAATATAACTAGTTGGTGTATATTCAAAGCTTCTGCTCATCTCGCTATGCCCCCATTTTTACAATCACCCTGTTTGAGGGCTATGAGTATGGATTCTTTGAAGGCTGCTGCAAATGCAGCTGACAAGGATAGGTTGCCTGGGGCTGCTAGGAACACAGCTGACAAGAATGGGTTGCCAGCATATTCACATTTTACTCTGTGGCTGCCTTGCTGTCACCTTGTTTTGGTGTCTGACTTTAGTGGAGTGTTGTAACCAGAGTGTAGAGATAACAAATGGCAGATGACTGTGTTTGAGTGTTATTAATGTTGTGAATAATTTTATCTTGGTCATAATAAAGCGGATGACATCAATAAACTCCCACTATAATGTGACGGCAACTCTTCTACCCTTCTATTGTAAGATATTATCTGAATTAATTTTGAGTGTGGACTTATTCTCCTTAAGGAACATGTTGCTTAATAAAACTATTTTAGAAAGTTTCATGATAATGGAACTGTTGGTAAATTTCTTGTGTATTTGCAATACTCTGAAAATACATTTAAAAATATAACATGCAAACAGTGCAATATTTGCTTTCCCTAACCAGCAGCAAGATACCATTGACTAAATCATTTATTCGTGTGTATACTTCATTCGACAAACTATGGCTAGAATATCATATAATTTGTTTTTAATATAGTTAAGTCAGCAGATTCTTATATGGGCATAGGTATGACACTTATATGGGATTGAGTATGGTGGTACCTTTATGGGTATGTGTTTGGTACTTATGTACTTACGTACCTCTATGGTACTTACGTACCTTTTACCTTACACAGACAGTCATCCGTATTTTATAGATATAGAAGATAGACAATGATTAAATCAAGTAATAAAAACTTGACCAGCGGACGAAGACAAAGATGGGGTACATACAGCCCGCCGCCTGCAAAGAATCCGAGCCCTGGCGAAATCGTCATTTTTCACAAAACTCAAAATCAAAACCAGCCATAGAATCGTTTTGAAAATGGTACCATTGTGTTTACCACAGCAATTTACCTTTCTTTCTGTAAAGTCTTTCTTTGCTAATTTTAAATATTAACGCCTATACAGCCATATTTACTGAGATACAGCCACCTCAAATATCAAAAATATCATCGTGTTTTCTCAACAAATTACTAAGGAAAATCAATTGTAAAAAATGTAATAATGATCAAATTGAGCTAAATAATAAATGGATAATCAAAATAACATTATATCTATATTCCTCATGTATTTAGAGACTACTATGCATGGTGCGTATATGGGCATATGTATGCTACTTATAAAGGCATTTGTATGGTACCTATATTGGCATATGAATGGTACTTATATGGGCATTTATGGTACTTATAAGGGCATATGTATGGTAGTTATAAGGGTATATGTATGATACTTATAAGAACATATGTATTGTTCTTATAAGGGCATAAGTATGGTACCTTTTTGGGCATATGTATGTTACTTATAAGAGCTTTTGTATGGTACCTCAATGGGCATATGTATTGTTCTTATATGGGCATATGTATGACACTTATATGGGATTGAGTATGGTGGTACCTTTATGGGTATGTGTTTGGTACTTATGTACTTACGTACCTCTATGGTACTTACGTACCTTTTACCTTACACAGACAGTCATCCGTATTTTATAGATATAGAAGATAGACAATGATTAAATCAAGTAATAAAAACTTGACCAGCGGACGAAGACAAAGATGGGGTACATACAGCCCGCCGCCTGCAAAGAATCCGAGCCCTGGCGAAATCGTCATTTTTCACAAAACTCAAAATCAAAACCAGCCATAGAATCGTTTTGAAAATGGTACCATTGTGTTTACCACAGCAATTTACCTTTCTTTCTGTAAAGTCTTTCTTTGCTAATTTTAAATATTAACGCCTATACAGCCATATTTACTGAGATACAGCCACCTCAAATATCAAAAATATCATCGTGTTTTCTCAACAAATTACTAAGGAAAATCAATTGTAAAAAATGTAATAATGATCAAATTGAGCTAAATAATAAATGGATAATCAAAATAACATTATATCTATATTCCTCATGTATTTAGAGACTACTATGCATGGTGCGTATATGGGCATATGTATGCTACTTATAAAGGCATTTGTATGGTACCTATATTGGCATATGAATGGGTACTTATATGGGCATTTATGGTACTTATAAGGGCATATGTATGGTAGTTATAAGGGTATATGTATGATACTTATAAGAACATATGTATTGTTCTTATAAGGGCATAAGTATGGTACCTTTTTGGGCATATGTATGTTACTTATAAGAGCTTTTGTATGGTACCTCAATGGGCATATGTATTGTTCTTATATGGGCATATGTATGACACTTATATGGGATTGAGTATGGTGGTACCTTTATGGGTATGTGTTTGGTACTTATGTACTTACGTACCTCTATGGTACTTACGTACCTTTTACCTTACACAGACAGTCATCCGTATTTTATAGATATAGAAGATAGACAATGATTAAATCAAGTAATAAAAACTTGACCAGCGGACGAAGACAAAGATGGGGTACATACAGCCCGCCGCCTGCAAAGAATCCGAGCCCTGGCGAAATCGTCATTTTTCACAAAACTCAAAATCAAAACCAGCCATAGAATCGTTTTGAAAATGGTACCATTGTGTTTACCACAGCAATTTACCTTTCTTTCTGTAAAGTCTTTCTTTGCTAATTTTAAATATTAACGCCTATACAGCCATATTTACTGAGATACAGCCACCTCAAATATCAAAAATATCATCGTGTTTTCTCAACAAATTACTAAGGAAAATCAATTGTAAAAAATGTAATAATGATCAAATTGAGCTAAATAATAAATGGATAATCAAAATAACATTATATCTATATTCCTCATGTATTTAGAGACTACTATGCATGGTGCGTATATGGGCATATGTATGCTACTTATAAAGGCATTTGTATGGTACCTATATTGGCATATGAATGGGTACTTATATGGGCATTTATGGTACTTATAAGGGCATATGTATGGTAGTTATAAGGGTATATGTATGATACTTATAAGAACATATGTATTGTTCTTATAAGGGCATAAGTATGGTACCTTTTTGGGCATATGTATGTTACTTATAAGAGCTTTTGTATGGTACCTCAATGGGCATATGTATTGTTCTTATATGGGCATATGTATGACACTTATATGGGATTGAGTATGGTGGTACCTTTATGGGTATGTGTTTGGTACTTATGTACTTACGTACCTCTATGGTACTTACGTACCTTTTACCTTACACAGACAGTCATCCGTATTTTATAGATATAGAAGATAGACAATGATTAAATCAAGTAATAAAAACTTGACCAGCGGACGAAGACAAAGATGGGGTACATACAGCCCGCCGCCTGCAAAGAATCCGAGCCCTGGCGAAATCGTCATTTTTCACAAAACTCAAAATCAAAACCAGCCATAGAATCGTTTTGAAAATGGTACCATTGTGTTTACCACAGCAATTTACCTTTCTTTCTGTAAAGTCTTTCTTTGCTAATTTTAAATATTAACGCCTATACAGCCATATTTACTGAGATACAGCCACCTCAAATATCAAAAATATCATCGTGTTTTCTCAACAAATTACTAAGGAAAATCAATTGTAAAAAATGTAATAATGATCAAATTGAGCTAAATAATAAATGGATAATCAAAATAACATTATATCTATATTCCTCATGTATTTAGAGACTACTATGCATGGTGCGTATATGGGCATATGTATGCTACTTATAAAGGCATTTGTATGGTACCTATATTGGCATATGAATGGGTACTTATATGGGCATTTATGGTACTTATAAGGGCATATGTATGGTAGTTATAAGGGTATATGTATGATACTTATAAGAACATATGTATTGTTCTTATAAGGGCATAAGTATGGTACCTTTTTGGGCATATGTATGTTACTTATAAGAGCTTTTGTATGGTACCTCAATGGGCATATGTATTGTTCTTATATGGGCATATGTATGACACTTATATGGGATTGAGTATGGTGGTACCTTTATGGGTATGTGTTTGGTACTTATGTACTTACGTACCTCTATGGTACTTACGTACCTTTTACCTTACACAGACAGTCATCCGTATTTTATAGATATAGAAGATAGACAATGATTAAATCAAGTAATAAAAACTTGACCAGCGGACGAAGACAAAGATGGGGTACATACAGCCCGCCGCCTGCAAAGAATCCGAGCCCTGGCGAAATCGTCATTTTTCACAAAACTCAAAATCAAAACCAGCCATAGAATCGTTTTGAAAATGGTACCATTGTGTTTACCACAGCAATTTACCTTTCTTTCTGTAAAGTCTTTCTTTGCTAATTTTAAATATTAACGCCTATACAGCCATATTTACTGAGATACAGCCACCTCAAATATCAAAAATATCATCGTGTTTTCTCAACAAATTACTAAGGAAAATCAATTGTAAAAAATGTAATAATGATCAAATTGAGCTAAATAATAAATGGATAATCAAAATAACATTATATCTATATTCCTCATGTATTTAGAGACTACTATGCATGGTGCGTATATGGGCATATGTATGCTACTTATAAAGGCATTTGTATGGTACCTATATTGGCATATGAATGGGTACTTATATGGGCATTTATGGTACTTATAAGGGCATATGTATGGTAGTTATAAGGGTATATGTATGATACTTATAAGAACATATGTATTGTTCTTATAAGGGCATAAGTATGGTACCTTTTTGGGCATATGTATGTTACTTATAAGAGCTTTTGTATGGTACCTCAATGGGCATATGTATTGTTCTTATATGGGCATATGTATGACACTTATATGGGATTGAGTATGGTGGTACCTTTATGGGTATGTGTTTGGTACTTATGTACTTACGTACCTCTATGGTACTTACGTACCTTTTACCTTACACAGACAGTCATCCGTATTTTATAGATATAGAAGATAGACAATGATTAAATCAAGTAATAAAAACTTGACCAGCGGACGAAGACAAAGATGGGGTACATACAGCCCGCCGCCTGCAAAGAATCCGAGCCCTGGCGAAATCGTCATTTTTCACAAAACTCAAAATCAAAACCAGCCATAGAATCGTTTTGAAAATGGTACCATTGTGTTTACCACAGCAATTTACCTTTCTTTCTGTAAAGTCTTTCTTTGCTAATTTTAAATATTAACGCCTATACAGCCATATTTACTGAGATACAGCCACCTCAAATATCAAAAATATCATCGTGTTTTCTCAACAAATTACTAAGGAAAATCAATTGTAAAAAATGTAATAATGATCAAATTGAGCTAAATAATAAATGGATAATCAAAATAACATTATATCTATATTCCTCATGTATTTAGAGACTACTATGCATGGTGCGTATATGGGCATATGTATGCTACTTATAAAGGCATTTGTATGGTACCTATATTGGCATATGAATGGTACTTATATGGGCATTTATGGTACTTATAAGGGCATATGTATGGTAGT